AACTTCTGTTTTAATTCAAAATCAATGGCAGTTACAAAATGAGGTATTTGTGAAATTGTAATTGTGCTGCTTGTTTTATGGAATAAGTTCTTTACTCTGAGGCAGTTAAGAGTTTTTCCCCCTAGTTGCCCTGTCCCAGGCCCGACACTGTCAAGAGGCTCATGAACCTTTATGGTAACATTGATAAACTAGTGAGAACGTATCTTAGACCAGTAGCTATTCTAGTGAGAATTTAGACCGGTAGTTGTGTTATATTAGGCCAGTCAAGTGGTTTTAAGCCGACATACTCTTTTCACAAATATGCATACCTGAATTATATAATATAATATCATTCTTTGAAAAACAACATAAATAAAAAATATGACATTTGATAACAGAAATTCTAGTTCAAACATGAAGTACTCAATTCTATTAATCTACTAGACGCAAATGCATGTATAAAAAAGTCAAAAGTATGAAAATAATCTTAAATTATTTAATATAAGTTACATGAATTGCACAACAAATAATATTAACATATGAATGTTGCATTTATAAAGTAAAAATATCAATTATAATGCTTTATAGTAGTGTTTTATATGAAAATAACATTCCATTAACAATAATTTATGAATTATTATTATTCTCTTATACATATAACAAATTCATTTTTAATTGATTTGTTATTTTTCCTTTTAGAAGTATAAAGATGGTTTTTCTCATGTACTTGGATTTTAAACCGAAAAAACAACATAATTTATTAGCAAGACTGCCAAGAGGCGGTGTAATATTTGCGCCCTTCTTGTTATATGACTTGTCATTTAGGCCTCGTTTACTGGGCTTGACTGGGATATGCAGGGATTGGACACAATTATCCCCCAACTTGCCACGTCAGATCTTTTCCACCGTTTACTAAACATTATCGATGATTATCCTTATCGTATCCACTATTTACAATACATGATAGAAAAGTTGTGGAAAATTTTAGATTACAATTATACCCTTCCATCTAAAACAGATCGGGTGCTCCAATCTTCGACAGAACACAAAAAATTGGGGGAAACCAGTTCGAGCTCGTGACCTAAAATTCGAGGGAACCCTCCCATTCGAAGCTTCCGTGGACCACCAATTGAGAACGTTAGACGACCATCGTCGATTCATCCATCCCGGCGTAGCATCTACGGTACGGCCATATCACCGGCGATTCGTCACCTTCAGTCAAGTCGTAAGTGTTCCTCTCACTTACTTCAATCTACTCCATCAATCCGAGCAGTGGTGCAATTTTCGGTTTAGGGCGCTTAAACTATGATTTATTATGGTTGTTTGTAATTATCTTCTAGCATTTATGTGCTTTTGTACTGAAGTCGGCCAACCAGAAATAAATAAATAATAGTTAGTCCGAGAGATTAATTCTTTCTTGTGTCGATAAAATTAACACCTGCACGAGATTAGGTAGGTTAAAACAACTTCAATTGGATAAATAAAAAAAATAATAATAACAAGATAAAATTGAAATGAACGCAACAGGAGCAACTAGGGTTTTGAAGACGACGAGCTCGAGTAAATCTGCTCACTTCAGAAGGCAAAATCGATTTTTATAATTCCTATATCAGTAATTTTGTTGACATGAAGGGGTAGGAAAGACATTTTACAGGTGCTTTTGAGGACAAAATTGGAAGCATAAAGTCGGGATAAAATATCTGACCAAAATGGGCAGACAAAATACTCCTCCACACACGTCACTTTAATGAGGTAGGACCCACATGTCACACACTTCACACATCAGCTATATCTTTATCCCTAACCTACCTAGTAAATAAATGATAAGGTTGGTTAACCAACCATATCCAATCCCGTCCGCGCTAGTAAACGAGGCCTTAAGGTTTACTTGTCGTGCCATTAAATATATCACACAAATAAATAAAATTTAATAATAAATTTTTACACTTAATACAATTTATTTAAAAATCCAGTATATAGACTAAATTGTAAAGTTCATAAATTCAATTACATACTCAATATTCTAATGGAAGTCTAGCATAATCAAATGTTGTCACAAATAAAATTTTTCAAATGAACCCCATTTAACCAAATAATAAAAAATCAGCTA